TCTCTACAATCTATACTGTATATTCAATAGAATCACATACAAACACAGTATATATTTAGTATACAGAATATATAACAATACTAAAATAAAGTGCAATAAAATGAATAAATCGGAGACAAGTGTAATATTGAGAGGGAGGGGTGGGAGAGAGGAAGGAGAAAGAGAGAGGGAGGGGGAAGGAGGAGGAGAGGAGGAAAGAGAGGAGGAGGGAGGAGGAGGAGGAAAAAGAGAGGAGGGGAGGAGGAGGAAAAAGAAGAGAGGAGGGGGAGGAGGAGGAAAAAAGAGAAGGAGGGGGAAGGAGGAGGAAAAAGAGAGAGGAGGGGGAGGAGGAGGCAAAAAGAGGAGAGGAGGGGGGAGGAGGAGGAGAGGAGGAAAAGAGAGAGGAGGGGAAGAGGAGGAGGAGGAAAAAGAGGAGAAGGAGGAGGAAAAAGAGGAGGGGAAGAGGAGGAGGAGGAGGAAAAAGAGAGAGGGAGGGGAGGAAAAAGAGAGAGGAGGGGGAGGAGGAGGAAAAGAGAGGAGGAGGGAAGCAGGGGGGAAGGGAGGAGAGGAAAAAGAGAGAGGAGGGGGAAGCAGGAGGAGGAGGAAAAAGAGAGAAGAGGAAGGAGGAGGCAGGAGGGAGGAGGAGGAAAAGAGAGAGGAGGGGAAGGAGGGAGGAAAAAGAGAGAGGAGGGGAAGGAGGAGGAGGAGAAGAAAGAAGAGTAGTGGGAGGGGGGGGAAAGAGAGAGGAGGAAAAAGAGAGAGGAGGGGGAAGAGGAGGAAAAGAGAGAGGAGGGGGAAGCAGGAGGAGGAAAAAGAGAGAGGAGGGGAAGAGGAGGGAGGAAAAAGAGAGAGGAGGGGAAAGGAGGAGGAAAAAGAGAGAGGGAGGAGGAGGAAAAAGAGAGAGGAGGGGGAAAGGAGGAAGGAAAGAGAGAGGAGGGGGAGGAGGAAAAGAGAGGAGGGGAGAGGAGAAAAAGAGGAGGAGGGGAAGGAGGAGAAAGAGAGGAGGGGGAAGCAGGAGGGGAGGAAAAGAGAGAGGAGGGGGCAGGAGGAGGAGGAAAAAGAGAGAGGAGGGGGAAGCAGGAGGAGGAAAAAGAGAGGAGGGGGAAGGAGGGAGGAGGAAAAAAGAGAGAGGAGGGGGAAGGAGGAGGAGGAGGAAAAAGAGAGAGGAGGGGGAAGCAGGAGGAGGAGGAAAAAGAGAGAGGAGGGGGAAGGAGGAGGAAAAGAGAGAGGAGGGGGAAGAGGAGGAGGAGGAAAAAGAGAGAGGAGGGGAAGAGGAGGGAGGAGGAAAAAGAGAGAGGAGGGGGAGGAGAGGGAGGAGGAAAAAAGAGAGGAGAGGAGGAAAAAGAGAGGAGGGGAGAGAGGAAAAAGAGAGGAGGGGGAAGGAGGAGGAGGAAAAAAGGAGAGGAGGAGGGGGAAGGAGGAGGAGGAGGAAAAAGAGAGAGGAGGGGGAGGAAAGAGAGAGGAGGGGAAGGAGGAGGAGGAAGAGAAGGAGGGGGAAAGGAGGAGGAGGAGGAAAAGAAGGAGGGGGAAGCAGGAAGAGGAAAAAGAAGAGGAAGGGGGAAGGAGGAGGAGGAGGAAAAAGAAGAGAGGAGGGGAGGCAGGAGGAGGGAAAAGAGAGGAGGAGAGGAGGAGGAGGAAAGAAGAGAGGAGGGGGAGGAGGAGGAGGAGGAAAAAGAGAAGAGGGGGAGGGAGAGGAAGGGGAAGCAGGGAAGGAGGAAAAAAGAAGAGAGGAGGGGGAAGGGGAGGAGGAGGAAAAGGAGAGGAGGGGGAAGCAGGAAGAGGAAAAAGAGGAGAGAGGAGGGGGGAGGGGAAAAGAGGAGGGAGGGGGAAGGGAGGAGGAGGAGAGAGAGGAGGAGGAAGGGAGGAGAGAAAAGAGAGGAGGGGGAAGGAGGAGGGAAAAGAGAGAGGAGGGGGAAGGGAGGAGGAGAAGAAAAGAGAGAGGGAGAGGGAGGGAGGGGGAAAAGAAGGAGAGAGGAGAGAGAGGAGGGGGGAGGAGGGAAAAAAGAGAGAGGAGAAGCAGAGAGAAAAAGAGAGAGAGGGAGGAGGGAGGAGGAAGAAGAGAAAAGAGGGGAAGGAAGAGAGAGGAAAGAGAGAGAGAGAAGAGGAGGGAAGGAAGCGGAAAAGAGAGAGGAGGAGAGGGAGAGGAGGAGGAAAAGAGAGAGGAGGGGGAAGGAGGAGGAAAGAGAGAGGAGGAGGGGAAAGGAGGAAGGAAAGAGGAGGGAGGAGGAAAAGAGAGGAGGAGGGGGAAGGAGGAGGAAAAAGAGAGAGGAGGGGGAAGGAGGGGAAAAGAGAGAGGGGGGGGAAGCAGAGAGGAGGAAAGAGAGAGGAGGGGGAAGGAGGAGGAAAGAGAGGAGGGGGAAGAGGGATGGGGGAGGGAAAAAAAAAGAGAGAGGAGGGGGAAGAGGGGTGGGAAGAAGAAGGAGGGGGAAAGGAGGAGGAAGGATGAAAAAGGAGAGAGAGGGGGGAAGAGGGAAAAGAGTAGAGGAGGGGAAGGAGGAGGAGGAGGAAAGAGGAGGGAGGG